CGCCTCAGGCAATTGTTGCTTATTTTTGTTTCGCCCTGCTGCCATTAATCACATATAAAATGGTGTTGTATTTTGTTTTCACCTACTGCTGCCATTAATCGCGCTCGGGCAATTGTTGCTTATTTTGTTTCGTCCCTGCCGCCGTAGTCGCCATAAAGGCAATTGTTGCCATTTTTGTTTCGCCCCACTGCTGCCATTAATCACGCCATAAGACGAAATTGTTGCCATTTTTGTTTCATCCTGCTGCCATTAATCACGTATTAGGCAATTGTTGCCATTTCTTGTTTTCATCTCTGCGCCGTTAAATGCATATAGGCAATTGTTGCCCATTTTCGTTTTCGCCCTCTTTCTGCCGTGTCATAATAAGGCGGTTTTGCCATTTTGTTTCACCTTGGCCATTATCACATATAGAGCAATTGTTTGCCATTTTTTGTTTTGCCCTGCTGCCATTAATCACATATAAGGGCAATTGTTGCCATTTTTACCCTGCCGTTAATCATATATGGGCAATTGTTGCCATTTTGTTTTCGTCCCTCTGCCAATGCAGAACATATAAGGCAATTGTTGCCATTTTGTTTCGCGCCATTGTTGCCATTAATCACATATAAGGCAATTGTTGCCATTTTGTTCTGCCACTAATCATTGAGCAATTGTTGCCATTTTTGTTTCACCGCCGCCATTAATCATATAAGCAATTGTTGCCATTTTTGTTTCCTTCTGCTGCCATTAATAATCACACTCGCAAAGGCAATTGTTGCCATTTTGTTTTCATATTCTGATGCCGTTAATCGCATATAAAAGCAATTGTTGCCATTTTTCATTTTTCAGCCTGCTGTATTAATCTTTTATACTCAGGCAGTATTTGCCGTACATTTTCGCCCCTCTGCTGCCATTAATCGCATGTAAGGCAGTTTTTGCCATTTTTTGTTTTCGCCCCACTGCGGCCATTATCACATATAAGGCAATTGTTGCCATTTTTTGTTTTTGCCCCACTGCTGCCGTAAATCACATATAAGGCAATTGTTGCATTTTTTGTTTTTGCCCCACTGCTGCCGTTAATCATATATAAGGCAATTGTTGCCATTTTTTGTTTTCGTCCCTCTACTGCCATTAAGAACATATAAGGCAATTGTTGCCATTTTTTGTTTTCGCGCCATTGCTGCCATTAATCACATATAAGGCAATTGTTGCCATTTTTTGTTTACGCACCACTGCTGCCACTAATCACATTTAAGGCAATTGTTGCCATTTTTTGTTTTCGCCCCACTGCTGCCATTAATCACATATAAGGCAATTGTTGCCATTTTTTGTTTTCGTTCCTCTGCTGTCATTAATCGCATAGAAGGCAATTGTTGCCATTTTTTGTTTTTGCTCTACTACTGCCATTAATCACATATAAGGCATTTGTTGCCATTTTCGTTTCCGTCCCTCTGCTGCTGGTAATCGCATATAAGGCAATTGTTGCCATTTTTGTTTTCGCCCCACTGCTGCCATTAATCACATATAAGGCAATTGTTGCCATTTTTCGTTTTCCCCCACTGCTGCCGTTAATCACATATAAGGCAATTGTTGCCATTTTCCGTTTTCGCCCCTCTGCTGCCGGCAATCACATATAAGGCAATTGTTGCAATTTTTTGTTTTTGCCCCGCTGCTGCCGTTAATCACATATAAGGCAATTGTTGCCATTTTTTGTTTTCGTCCCTTTACTGCCATTAAGCACATATAAGGCCATTGTTGCCATTTTTTGTTTCCCCCCTCTTGCCGTTAATCGCATATTAGGCAATTGTTGCCATTTTTTGTTTTCGCCCCACTGCTGCAATTAATCACATATAAGGCAATTGTTGCCATTTTTTGTTTTCGCCCCACTGCTGCCATTATTCACATATAAGGCAATTGTTGCCATTTTTTGTTTTCGTCCCTCTGCTGCCATTAATCACATATAAGGCAATTGTTGCCATTTTTTGTTTTCGTCTCTCTGCTGCCATTTATCACATATAAGGCAATTGTTGCCATTTTTTTGTTTTCGCCCCAGTGCCTCCATTAATCACATATAAGGCAATTGTTGCCATTTTTTGTTTTCGTCCCTCTGCTGCCATTAATCACATATACTGTATGGCAATTGTTGCCATTTCTAACGCCCCTACTCTTTGTATTGTATACATTTAAACCTACCCTTCCCTTGTCCTGTTTTACCCCTTGTCCTGAGCAACTAATTTTACTTCCCAGGACCTGCTTGTGTTTTGACTCCCACTTTCCCCGACCTCTCTCTCCTGGCGAAACCCCCCCTTCGGAGTGACAATTTCACGCTTCAGTGATGCAGACAACGTCTTTACCCCCTCACGAGACACGTGTACTCCGTCGCGACAGTACAGGTAGTCGGTGCCATAGAATCGTTGCCAGTTATCAATGAATGCCCAATCATTGTTTGCACAACGTTGTTCCAGTCGGCAATTTATAGCAATTGCCCTGGACAGCCATTCACGACCAACCCCTCTTCTAGGCAAGACACCACATACTATCGGGATCCCTCCCCTATCTCTAATCTTCCCCAGCGCCTCCCTATACCTCTCGAAAAGTTCCTCACTCCTTACCTTACCTATGTCGTTTCCTCCCACACCAAGACACACTACTGGATTGGTACCCTCCCCTGACAAAACCCTGTCTAACCTCTCGGCTACATGCCCTATCCCAGCCCCAGGAAAACACGCCCTAGTCCTACGTTCCTATCTCTCGCACAAAAAGCCCTATCTACAAACCTCACCTGGCTGTCCCCAACTACCACGACCTTACCTGTGGGCAGGGTTTGTACAACTGCCCTTTCCTCTCCCTGATCCATACCGTCCTGCCTCTTCTCTTCCTCGCCAGCTTCCTGCAGCACCTGGTAAGGGTTACTACACTCCACACCCTGGTCAGCTTTCCTGAGCCTGACCCTAGTCCCCTTGGAGACAACCACTCTCCACGCCTGCTCCTCCTTCGCAGGTGTCCTGCTAGGCAGGACACCTACCTGAAGGCGTTCCGTCCTGAGGGCTTCATTTCCCCCTTTAGAGTGTCAACCTCACTCCTGAACTGCCCCAGCTGCCTTAACAGAGTGGCAAGGAGGTCGTCTTTCCCCACACTCCCCTCCTCTTCTCCCACGACACAACGATCCAAGGCGGCCATTTTCCTCGGTCTCTAACGGGAGCACTTTCGGGCACGACCTTCTCCAAGCTGTTTTCCTGTAAGTGTAACTTATTCTTAGCATTCGCCTATAAAACTTCATTTCAAAGGCCTCCAACCTCTTTCTGGTGTCTGCTGAAAGTGGTTACGCTTCTTACCCATTAAAGTTAATGTCCTTTTTCATTAGCTCTTTTAGATTATTAAATGCTATTTTCCTTGACCAATTCTTGTTATGATTTCTTTCGTACATCTACCATCACAGCAGGTGTTACTTCCCGAATTCACAAAATTTTCCACTTGTTTAAAGTTCCTTCTTGCCTACCATAATTTTTATTTTAGGATGTATTTCCAATTTGGAAACAACCATCACTCTCGTCTTTACATGATTAACTCTTAACCTATATTCTTCGCCCTTTTCCACACAAGTAAATAACCTCAAAGACTATTAAAAAAACAACAACTTAATTTTAAGTTATCGTAAGAGAAGACCATCATGAACTGGCTCACAGTAAGACACGTTAATTTTTATAACAAAATCATCTGGATGTTATATTTGTGCTATATCTTAAGTTATCGGTTAGGTGTATTCTTTCATCTTCAGCCTCGAGAAATGGTCTTTGTATGGACTTTTGAGAGTCACTACACTGCGTCACACGTAGTAGCTCTCTTAGAAGTGTTAGCATTATGAAGGCAGAATTTTGGAAATATGACCTCAGTGGTCGGCCCCCGCACCCTCCAAATGTGGAACTCCCTCACTAAAAACAGATCTGTTGTATGTCTGGTATAAACCGTCATGATTTTTAATACAGAGACCTGATAATTTGTATGCTTGAGTAAGTTGCCTCGATAGTGCTGGAAGCCTCCATGAGAAGATGGTCCGTCCCTTTGCGACCGACACCACCACCTAAAAGTGAGCCCCCACTGTGCACGACCACGGCTTTTAACAAAGAGAGCTGAAATTTGGTATGGTTGTTTTTTTGCATAAGCAATTAGTTTTGGCCAAGGGCGGACATAGGCTATAAGCTGCCTCACTAATTCTAGAATATCGCAGTTAGAGTAAAAGATGGGGAACAGCAGAGGGAGAGAGAGACAGGGTAGTGGAGAGACAGATAGACATTTATTCCGCAAAATTGTCATACAAGTTCACATTGGTCCATCACATATTGTATCTAAATATTGTGGAGACAAACATAATAGTAGGATGGGAGGATTTAGGAAGAAAGGGAGGAGTACTACAAGAGCTACTGTGTGTATGGGGGGATGGAAGGAAGGGAGGGAGGGAGGAGAGAGGAAGGATGGAGGGGAGAGAGGGAGGGTTGTAGGGGGTGGGAATAGCCCAACATTCCTCCAACGAAAGTGTAGCCACAAGTCCAGGGTTACCACAAATTATTTTATCTCACCACCTATCTGCATATTTGCCAAGGAGCTCCTCTACAAACTTCAAAACAACATTACTTCGACTACTAAAACAGATCTGTACTTTCTGTCGAGTAATTTCCTCGTTTATTTTGTATTTTCAAGCCGTAGTTCATGGTGAAAATGTGGGATAGATGGTGTACCTGTAAAGCGTTGTTACCTGGATTAGTGGAAGACTGCATCAGATACTAATAAAGCATCAAAGTCGACATACCATCTTCACAGGCAAAGAAACTTGCTCGAATTTTGTATTTCCATCTCACTTAACAAGCATGAAATATATATCAAAATGTCTATTGATTTATAAAGGATTATAGAAATTGGAAGCCGGATCGATCAGTATACAGATTATCATACTACCTCACTTATAGCAATGTGTTCCTTGTCTTACAAGTAAGCACTCTACCCTGGTAATACCAATTTTGCAGATAAACCTGGAGTTGGTCTCACGCTGCAGATATTCAGCAACAATGAAAAAGTGAGAGTGCACAGTTTCCAGAGTCTCCTAGCAGTTTCCAAAGTCTCCTACGAGTTCCTAAAGGCTCCTAAAAGTTTCCAAAAGTTCCTATGAATTAAAAAAAGATACTATGAGTTCCCAAAGGCTCCGATGAGTTCCAAAAGCTCCTACAAGTTTCCAAATGTTCCTATGAGTTTTCAAATGTTCCTATAAATTCTAAATTTATGAGTTCCCAAAGGCTCCGATGAGTTTCCAAGGGCTCCTATGAGTTTCCAAAAGCTCCTATGAGTTTCTAAATGTTCCTATGTGTTTTCATAGGCTCCTATAAGTTCCCAAATGCTCCTGTGAGTTTAGAAAGTTCCTAAAAAATCCCAAAGGCCCCAAGGAGTTCCTAGAGACTCCTAGGAGTTCACAAAGATTCCAATGAAAGCCCAGAGAATCCTAGGAGTTCCCAGAGACTCCTATGAGTACCCAAAGGCTTCAAGGTTATCCCAGAGAATCCTAGGAGTTACCAAAGACACCTAGGAGCTTCCCAAGGAATAAGCTCCACCGGTGTCATCACAATCAACAATATCCTGATATAAATAACTGTAACTCTGTAAGAAGTATAATGATGAGGGTGACAGTACCAAATAACACAGCGCACACTTTATATTTTCCAGATATAATAAATGGCAGAACAAGTACACTAGGGTTAGTTATTTTAGTGTTGCTTTTGTCTTATTATCTCTCGTTTCTAGATCGTCTATAACATACAATATTGTATTAGATTTAAATTTCTCCACGCATATCTCATATGCTTTGTACCTTCTCAGTGGAGTGCTATTATTATTATTATTATTTATATATTTATTTATATTATTTTTGTATTATGTTAGGTATATACATAAATAAATATGATGTAACAAATAATATATGTCCTGTATCTTCGTGATAACTTCATATTAAGGTTACCCACCCCCAAGTACAGTATTCAGTGAATAGCCTTATGTTTACGCAGTTTTGTATGAAAACTTCCTAATGCCATTTAAAAATAGCAGTTATTGGCAGTATATATATATATATATATATATATATATATATATATATATATATATATATATATATATATATATATATATATATATATATATATATAAATTATACATTAGGTATATATATATATATATATATATATATATATATATATATATATATATATATATATATAAATTTCAAACACCGCGCAATTAATATTTTTCAAACACCGCAATTAGCGATACTGAGCTGGTCGTCGGAGGGAAGAGAGCTCTCCCTGCACATAGCGAGAGGTTGTGGAACTAGGCCTAAGTGATATTCATGTAATTTGCCGAATTAATAATGATGCGATTCAGTTAAGGGACTATTATTGAATTTGAAATTATTATAGATCGTTTATCAGTCTGAATAATGTCACTGGTGTCCCAAGGAGTTATTAGTTAGGCGGAAAATATGTCACGTAGGCCTAAGCTAGCGCCTTGGAGAGACGACGCTGGCTGGTGCTCAGTCGCGTGAAAGCGATTGGACCTACAGACATCCCTGCGCGTCCGTCCACAGAAATAGTCACGTGGCCTAGTCACCTGTGTTGCACTATTGCAGTATAACAAGTGAGTCTCATTCGATCTCAGACAGGGTTAGATAGGGCAGTGGTAAAGTTAACAAGAGCTAACAGTGAGTTCATTTCAGGTTTCCGTCAGAACCCACTTGACTGTGAGAAATTGACTGCAGAGTGATGACCGCGAGAGATTGACTGCCGTTTGAGACTGCCGTTGATGATTGAGGGTGGCGATTGTCGCCATTGGACCGATCAGTGTAGGCCTGTCACTGTTTAGCGGGGTATCAAGATCTCTTGAGGAATCTAGCCGTCTGGGCCCAGCTGACGACGGACGATCGTTGGGCATCAGCTTCTACCTCGGCTCACAACACCACATGTCTCGAGCAGCTTAGTGAAACCCTTCTAACGGGAAGCTAAAGCTTCAACTGCGTCACTCCCTTCCGTTTCAGATGTACTGGGGTAAAGTGAGGCCAGCTGAGGATACAGCCGGACACCAACTAAGAGTCAGTGGAGTTAGAGGCACTTTCCAGGTGGAGAAAGGCTGATTTGGGCCTTCAACTACTGGTGCCTGTTGGTGCTTAAACGACTACGGAGTGCAGGTGGAATCTGTGTGTGTGTTAGGTTAGGGAGCATGTTTCACTGGTATTGGACTCAGTAACGTCTTTATAATTGTGACAATATTTTTGTGTAGTTAATACTATTTTTTCAGTTACTAATGTATGCTGTGTGCATTTAAAATTTCTTTATAGTTTCAATCTCAGGTATAACCTTTGTTCCCCATAGAGTAGTGTTAGGTTAGAGGTGTGAATCTGTTGGTGTAACATAATTATATTGAGTGCCCTTTAGGCCTATTCATGTTGGAATTATTAATTTCTTATTTTTGAATACCATTTTCTCAGTGCTGGATATTATTTTGTTGAAAGCCCTTGAGGCCTGTTTCATGTGTGCAAGCAACATTTCTTAATACTTCAAATTTATTGTTGCCTGAGTTTCGAATAATTTTCTATATCATGTATAACTTTTATTCCCCAGAGTAGTGGTTTTAAGTTCAAGTTAAGAGGTGTGCATATTGGTGTACCATTATTTGATTGTGTTTAGTGTTGAGGGAATATAAGTGTCTAATTTACAGTGTGTCCTATTCATCCAGTCACAGACGCTATCCTTCCACGGGTCACGGACAATTCATTTTGTTTAGTGGATTAAGTGTTCTTGTGCTGGTTCGATTTTTCAAAGGGCGCTTCCACTGCCATTACCATCTATTAATCTTTAATAAACCCCAAGTCAAGTGAGAAAATAAAGTCCAGTAAATTCCGACCGGCTATATATATATATATATATATATATATATATATATATATATATATATATATATATATATATATAAAAGTAAATCACTGTAGGTATATACAGACTAAGGAGAAATACTTGAGAAGGCTAATATATACAGAGGAGAGCGAGATCAAGTCCCTCGGGGACAGCAGGGGTCCACAATGTTCCGGTCATAAGGCAGTGACCCTTACTAATCTTCTTAATCCAAAGAAATTGACCATGCCAACTTTAAGCACAGCAGCTCTCCCCTCCTGTATATTAGCCTTCTCAAGTATTACTCCTTAGTCTGTACTCACCCTTGAAGATGTGAATTACACGATAGCGCTTGGGAACTTCGTGTTCTATTGTTTCCTTGTGGTTATCAGCATATATATATATATATTTTATTCAAGACATCTAGAGGCAACTGAAGATGTCTTGAATAAAAGATAATTCTGTTGTTTCATTTTCCCGTGTGATTTTATCAAGCTTTATCTTATCCACGTTTTCATTGTAGATTTTTATATATATATATATATATATATATATATATATATATATATATATATATATATATATATATGATAGATACCTGAATATCAAGGAAGTGAAGAGTAAATACTCAGGTGGATGATTCCTACACTGTCCAGGAGAGTACTAAGAGAAAAACGTTAATACTTGTGAAAGAAATCCCTCCATAAGAAAAACATTTTGTGGACAGAATACAAACCTGTCATATTCAAGTCTTAATCTCGCAGAGCTCATTCAATTTTCTTTGTTGTAACACCCTGGTCATTCCTTAATGAGCTATTCACTGCCACTCATGGTTGTCTCCCTTCCTAAACTACAAACATTCACACAAAACACAGACACCCTCCGTACATATATAAATAAGTACACAGTCCATTTCCATAATTTCTTTTTCATTTTCGCTTCTTTCCAAATCTATATAATAAAAATTTATTTGTTTATCTTATAATTTTTTATCACACATCACTATATTCTTGAAGTCAGTATTTTTTATATTCCTATCAATATTAAAAATAAATAAAATAGAATTACAACATCAAACTCACTGCCGAGAGGTACAAGTTTTCTTAATTGTATGAAGTCTCTCTTGTCTCACCTCTGGTCCTCCCCAAAGACACTTTCTCCTGTGTGTGTGGTGGCGGGGTCAGAAGATCATCACACTCCACACAGAGCTGCGGTCTTAATGTGTCTGACGTTGGTTGAGATGTTATCATCCCAACTTTCTGTCCTCTTGAGGCCTCCTGCCTCTGGCTACACTATCCCCAGGTAAGAGAAATTTAGAGATATATTTCAGTATAGCACAATTATTACTGTTGACCGTGTTTGTATGTTGTGTAAGAATCTTTCAAATGAAGTACTACTGGAATGTAAAACAAAGAGAGAGAGAGTCTATTAGTGTGGAGGAAAGGAATATCTCCTATCTATTTTATTTTTCCCCTAAATTATTATGGTGGTTTCTGTTGTATATATATACTGTATATATATTTTATATAATTATTATTATTAGTTGGAGCATATGAAATCCAGAGCGCCATCCTCCCTCACATGTTATCCTCCTCACGCACCACCTTCACTCACTTCCCCTTCATTAAACCACCCACCTATACTCACCACCGTCCTTGACGCGAGATCCTCACGCACTGTCCTCCTTCACCCCTATCTTGGCTTCTACAACCTCCTATAGAGAGAGAGGATGTCACTGTTCGACTCTCTACAGCATCCCTGCACTTTCACGAGCCAAGGTCAAATGATACCTCATCCAATCTTCCTGCCTACTTTCAGTCCTGCGCCCTTAATCCTTATTTATTACTCCCCATGCAGGACACTCAGGTACGGCAGATGAAGGGTGAGTCGGATGGTGGTGTGTGCAGTTTTAAGGTGAGGAGGAACGATGCGAAGCTTAAGGCAGCTAAGTAAAAAAAAAAATGCAGAATGGAAAAGAAGGAAAGGTAAAATTACTAAGAGGATGAAGGAGGAGGTTATAAGGTGGGAAAGGAGGAGATGGGTATGGGTAGGGTGGGTAGGTGACAGGCAGGTGGCTGTCAAGAACTGTGGAGGAGGGATGGTCTTGGAGTGTTGGAGATAAAGGAATGTGCCAAAGGATAAGGAGTTTTGTGAAAAGTAGACGCCACAGGTAGAAATTCTCTTGTACCAGTGATGGATATCACAAATTTTCAATCGCTTGATTTTAAGAAACACTTTC